ATAAATAAATAAATAAATAAGAATAAAAAACTACTACCTGCTGAATTTGATACAATACCAAAGAATTTAATTACTTGAAAAATATGTTAAAATATTCTCTTTTCCAACTATGTATCTGTGTGAGGCCAGATTTTCTTAAGATTTCTTTATTTTTTTTTTTTAGAGAGAGAGAGTGCCACCAGTTTTGCCATTTATTCTCTTTGGATTTCCTTCATCTATGTTCTTCTTTTTTTCCTAAAGATTTTATTTATTTGAGAGAGAGAGAGAGTGCACGTGAGGTGGGGGAAGGGACAGAGGGAGAGGGAGAGAGAGAATCTCAAGCAGACACTGAGCACAGAGCCTGATATGGGGCTTGGTCCCAGGACCCTGAGATCATGACCTGAGCAGAAACCAAGAGTCAGCCACTTATACCACTGAGCCACCCAGGTACCCCTGACTTTCTTTATATAATTTAATTAAAACAATATATCAGGACAGACTGAATGAATGTAGAAACAGTTAAAGGAATCCAGCTACTATTAAAGCAGACAAATGTTTAAGAGATACTGTTGTAGGGGCGCCTGGGTGGCTCAGTCGGTTAAGCGTCTGCCTTCGGCTCAGGTCATGATCCCAGGGTCCTGGGATCGAGCCCCGCATCGGGCTCCCTGCTCAGCGGGGAGCCTGCTTCTCCCTCTGCCTCTGCCTGCCTGCCTGCCTACTTGTGCTCTCTCTCTCTCTCTGTCAAATAAATAAATAAAATCTTAAAAAAAAAAGAGAGAGAGATACTGTTGTATTCTCTTTGCTAAAATTTTATTAAGGATTTTTTATATCTACATTCATGGGGGATATTGGTCTGTTGTTTTCTTTGAGGGAGTTTTTAACTACAATATCTTTATAGGGATATTGAGGTTGTCTTTCTTCTTGAGTGAAGGTTGATAATTTGTGTCTTTGAAGGAATTGATTCATCTAGTTTGTCAAATTTATGGGCATATAGTTTATAATATTCCCTTATTTTTCTTTTAATGTGTGTAGAATCTGTAGTGATGTCCCCACTTTCATTCTGTATGTTGGTAATATTTTCTTTTCCTGATCAATGGTATTAAAGGTTTTTAGTAAGGATTAAAGGATTATTAATTTTACTCAAAGAACCAGCTTTCTGTTTCATTGCTTTTTGTCTGTATTTCTGTTTTGTTATTCATTGATTTCTGCTTTTTTTTAATAAATTTTCTCTTTTATGCTTACTTGGTACATCATTTGCTCTTCCTTCTTCTAGTTTCTTAAAAGGGAAGCTGAGGTCAGGGATCAGCGAACTTTTCTATAAAAGGCCAGAGAGTAAGTATTTTAGGCCTATTAGGCCAGATAGTCTCTACCACAACTACTCAGCTCTGCCACTGAAGCATGAAAGCAGCCACAGATAGTGAAAGGAAAGACAGATACCACTATGTTACAGTAAAAATTTATTCACAAAAATGGGCAGCCAACCACAGTTTGACCCCTCGTTAGGCTGATTTTTCTTCTTTCCTGATGTAAATATTTAATATATTTCTAAGTCTGCTTTATCTATATCTCACAACTTTTGAACTTTTGATACGTGTTTTTTGATTTTCCTTGTGATTTTTTTTGGACTCATGAAGTTATTTATATTTAGTAGTGTATTATTTAATTTCCAAGTATTTGGAAACTTTCCAGCTATCTTCCCATTATTCATTTTTAATTTAACTTAATTTTGGCCGAAGGATATACTTGGTATGGTTTCAGTCCTTCACATTTATTGAGATTTGTTTTATGACCCTGAATACATTCTGTCTTGGTAAATGTTTCGTGTGCACTTGACAAGAATGTGTATTCTGTTGATGTTAGGTGACAGTATTCTATAAATATCAATTAGCTCAAGTGGGTTCATAGTATTTTTCTAGTACTCTGTGTTGTTACTAACTTTCTGTGTACTTGTTCCATCAGCTGAGATCAGTTACTGAAATTACCAATTGTAATTGCATATTTCTCTTTGTAGTTCTCTAAGTCTTCATGTTATTTGAAGCTCTGTATTAGGGACATACACATTTGGGATTGTATGTCCTCTTGATACACTGAATCCTGATCATTATAAAATGATCTTCTTTATCCCTGGTGATAGTTCTTGCTTTGAATTCTACTTTAATACTAAAATTGCCACTTAGAAACTTTATCAGGATGTATTTTACATATTATAAAACCACCTGTTTCAAGTGTATAACTCAGTAATTTTTAGCAGCTTTCTTGAGCAGTGCAGTCATCACCATAAATCAGCTTCACAATCTTTATCCTCCCATACGATCCTCATTCCCATTTACAGCTAATGTCCATTCCATTCCTATCCCCAGTCTCAGGGAACCTACTTTTTGCCTATAAATTTGCCTTTTCTGGACACTTAGATAAATGGAATCGTATAATATGTGATATCTTGTGCCTGGCTTCTTTCACTTAGCATAATGTTTTTGAGGTTCATCTATGATATAACATGTATCGATAGTTCATTTTTTATATTGCTCAATAGTATTCCAGTGTATGGAACCACATTTTGTCTGTCCATTCACCAGTTGATGGACATTGCCAGTTTTGGACTGTGATGATTAATACCACTGTGAACATCCTCATTTGGATGGATATGTTTTCATTTCTCTGGGTAAATATCTGAAATTGTAATTGCTGGGTTGTCTGGAGATTTTACATTTAACTTTTCAGGAAACTGCCAAACTATTTTCCTAAATGGCTACACCATTTTACTTTCGTGCCAGCAATGTATAAGTGGTCCAGCTCTCCACATCCTTACCAACGTTTGTTATTGCCTGCCTTATACCATTATACCCCTTCTAGTTTGTATGAAGTAGTCTTATTATGGTTTTAAGTCACATATTCCAAATGACTAATGCTGTTGAACATATTTTCAAGTGCTAATTACTTACCCATTTGTTTATCCTCTTTGGTGAAATGTGTGGTTTTCTTCTTCTTGGGTTGCAGGAGTTCTTCGTGAATTCTGAATATAAATCCTTTATTGGATATGTGTTTTGCAAATATTTTCTCCTTGTCTGTTGCCCATTTTTTAATTTTTGTAGTGGGTTTTTTTCAGTATAGGTTTTTATTCTTTTGAGATGAGATTATTGATGTTTTCTTTTATAGATTATGATTTTGGTGTTGTAGCTAAGAAATCTTTGCCTAACCCAGACACAAAGATTTTCTCCTATGTGTTCTTGTAAAAGTTTTCATATAAGGTAAGGGTCTCAGGTCCTCTTTTTGCTTGTAGATTATCCATTTGTCCCAGCACCATTTATTTGTTCAACAGACTGTTCTTTCTCCCAAAGACTTGTTTTGGCAGTTTTCTTTTGCTTGGAGTTAGTTGAGCTTTCCTCCTCCTGCTGTGCCTATAAACTCTAGCCAGTGAGTTGGAGCACCCATAGGAATCCCCTCATTTATTTCCCTCCTCTCAGGAATCACTGTCTTGTGCTGCCTTTTGCTCAGTATCTGCAGGCTCCATTGTTTTCAATATATTTTGTCTGGTTTCCTAGCTGATTAAAGGCAGAAGGGTTAAGTCTGGTCCCCATTATGTCGTCATGTCCAGAAGTACAAGTTGTCTCTCTTACCTTTCAGCTTTTAAAAAATTTATTTAACTTTTTGCTTATTATTTCCTGAGTTTCTTAAAAATAAAAATCTTTCTATTTGGTAAAATACAAATTATTTATCCTTTCTGATGGTTGAGTAATATATTGTATATACGGACCACATCTTCTTTATCCATTCGTCTGTTGAAGGGCATCTCAGCTCCTTCCACAGTTTGGCTGTTGTGGACATTGCTTCTATAAACATTGGGGTGCAGGTGCCTCTTTTCACTACGTCTGTATCTTTGGGGTAAATACCCAGTAGTGCAATTGCTGGGTCATAGGGTAGCTCTATTTTTAACTTTTTGAGGAACCTCCACACTGTTTTCCAAAGTGGCTGTATCAACTTGCATTCCCACCAACAGTGTAAGAGGGTTCCCCTTTTGAACTGGAGGAGATTATGCTAAGTGAAATAAGTCAAGCAGAGAAAGTCAATTATATGTTCTCACTTACTGTAGAACATAAGGAATAGCATGGAGGACAGGAGAAGGAAGGGAAAAATGAAGGTGGGGGGTAATCAGAAGGGGAGACGAACCATGAGAGACTATGGACTCCAGAAAAAAAACTGAGGGTTTTAGAGGGGAGCGGGGTGGGGAGATGGGTTTTAAGGAGGGCACATAGTGCATGGAGCCCTGGGTGTTATATGCAATGAATCAAGGAACACTACATCAGAAACTAATGATGTATGGTGATGAACATAAAAAATAAAATTTTTTAAAAATGCAAATAAAACTAATTATGTATTGTATGGTGACTAACATAACATAAAAAAATACAAATTATTATTTTTTAAAGATTTTATTTATTTTTTTGACAGAGACACAGTGAGAGAGGGAACACAAGCAGGGGGAGTGATGGAGGGAGAAGCAGGCTTCCTGCAGAGCATGGAGCCCAATGCGGGGCCGATCCCAGGACTCTGGGATCATGACCTGAGCCGAAGGCAGATGCTTAACGACTGAGCCACCCAGGTGCCCCAGAAATACAAATTATTTTTAATTTGAAAAGAAAAAGCAGAAGCAACAGCATCTTGGACATTAATATCAGCACCATAATATTCTGTGTTCTTGTAATTCATAAACATGAAATTATATATCTGATTCAGAAAACATAATTTTTTTAAATTAACTGTTAATTTCAAGGGTATCAGTTCTATTTAATTATCTTTTAAAAGAATGCTTGTGGGTTGCCTGGGTGGGGCTCAGTCGGTTAAGTGTCTGCCTTGCATGATCCCAGGGTTCTGGGATCGAGTCCCACATCGGGCTCCTTGCTCAGCAGGGGTCTGTTTCTCCCTCTCCCTCTGGGTGCTCTCTCTGTCTCTCTCAAGTAAATAAAATCTTTAAAAAAAAAAAAAAAGAATGCTTGTAAGATCTGTGGTTTTTCTAATTATAGGCGATTGTGGAAAAATGTGACAGACTCTCTGAGGGAATCTGAAATTGATAAAGCCACAGAGCATAAACGTACCCTGGAAGAACGCCAGAGGACTGAAGAAAGGCATCGAACTGAAACAGGCACACCCTGGAAAACCAAATATTTTATTAAAGAGGTTTGTCTTACATGTTTTCAGACTAAAACTCATTATCTACTTAGTGAGAACTTTAGCTTCCTAGGCTTTATTGAATTGTTATCATTTACACATCTTTATTTCTGAAACTAGTCCAGCTTAACCATGAGCTTTTTCATGAGCTTTTCACAATTTGCCAAAGTAAAATAGTTTAGTAGCAGTTCAGATGAAGTAGATTTTAGGATTAAATTGGTCAGAAAAAAAATGCTATAACACAGTCTCCAATCATAGTAATAGATTATACAATTTATAATTTATTGTCCTTTGAACCACACTAAAACTCTGTGTTCATTTCCAGAGACCACCTTTTAGAGGGAGACATGAGAAACTTAATCAGCTACACAGTGTGTAATGAAGTGGCTAGAATCTTTACAATGTTTAAGGAAAAAAGAATAAAGTGGGGTGTTTAGCCTTGAAAACCAAAAATTAGGACCATTTGTTGTAACCTTCTTCAGATATGTGTATGGTTTATCATGTAGAAATTTTTTATTAGTTTGTATAGCAGTCCTGAGGTAGGTCCATCCTACCAAGAGTTTTGAGCTTAGCATAGGAAGGAATTGTACAACAATCAAAAATATCCAATAATAATAAGGGAGTACATTTTATAGTAATGCATCATTAGTCCTTTATGAGACCATGGCTTATGTGGAAGACTTTGATGCACTGATTTTGTAGCTGGACTAAATAATTTCTGGAGTCTTACCTAAATTAAAAAATTTTTCTTTGTTTATTGCTTTCTGGTAGAACTCAGAGTAAGGTGAATAGCGGACCAGAGCTGATACCAAGAAAAGTTTTCTTGTCATGGGTGCCAGGCTGGCTCAGTCAGAGGAGCATGCAACCCTTGATCTTGGGGTTGTGAATTCCAGTCCACATTGGGTGGAGAGATTACTTAAAGAGAAAAAAAGGGTGGGGGGGCTCCTGGGTGGCTCAGTCAGTTCAGTGTCTACCTTTGGCTCAGGTCGTGGTCCCAGGTTCCTGGGATCGAATCCTGCATTGGGCTCCCTACTCAGCGGTTAGTCTGCTTCCCCCCTGCCCCTCCCCGCCCGCCCCTAACCTCACCCCCCTTCCCCCCGCTGGTGCTATCTCTTTCTCTCTCTCTAAAAACAAATAAATAAAATATTTTTTAAAAAGAGAAAAGAAGGGGCGCTTGGGTGGCTCAGTCGTTAAGCGCCTGCCTTCGGCTCAGGTCGTGATCCTGGGGTCCTGGGATCAAGCCCCGCATCGGGCTCCCTGCTGGGTGGAGAGCCTGCTTCTCCCTCTACCACTCCCCCTGCTTGTGTTCCCTCTCTGTCTCTGTCAAACAAACAAACAAATAAATAAAAAGAAAAGAAAAAGAAGAAAAGTTTTCTTGTCGATAGCCAAGTCTAAAGAAGCCCACTGAATTTTAATATTGGTCCATCAAGAAGGAATTTGCAAAAAGTAATTTGATCTTGGTTTTTGCATAGTTATTAACCCTAAAAATCCATAGTTTATTATAGTGGCTTCATTACCTTCATTTTTCTAATCATTATCTATTAAAAATACCAGCCATTTTCATGGATTGAAATAATAAAGGGAAAAGTACATATCTACTCTTTTATCTGAAAAAATTAATAATTTTCAAAGTTATAGTCTGGTAACTTTGCATTTTTTTCATTTCAAAGAAAGCAAATATACCAGGAGGAGATTGTAGGAGGAGAATTTCTAAAGGAGGAGCTCTGTAAATCATTAAAAGTGAACTCGGTTGGGGGGTCAAGAGCAGGGGCTATAATGGCTAAAAGCTATAGGGACGCCTGGCTGGCTCAGTCAGTGGAGCATGCAACTCTTGATCTCAGGGTGTGAGTTTGAGGCCCACGTTGGGTGTAGAGATTCCTTAAACATAAAATCTTAAAAAGATACAATTAATGAAATTTTTTAAAGATAGGCACCCTGATTCTTGCTAGTAACATGACATATAAAATTGCTACTTGTCATTTATTCTTGGACAGATATTATTAAGAGCCGCTACCAGTCTAGCATTCAGTGATGTGATTAGGTGGCATCTTTTTCCAAGAACAGTACTACAGGAGTTGAGAATTATCAACCAGGTGGAAAACAACCTAATGGTTGCTATTATTTTTTTAAAGATTTTATTTATTTATTTGACAGAGGGAGTGAGCATGGGGGGAGCAGCAGACTCCCCACTGGGCAGGGAGCCTAACATGGGGCTCAATCCCAGGACCCAAGATCATGACCTGAGCCGAAGGCATACAACTTGACTGACTGAGCCACCCAAGCACCCCTAATGGTTGCTATTATTAAAGAAAAATTATTTTGATACCTATTAAAAACATCAAGGAAGGCTTCATTCAGGACTATTGTAATAGAGAAGAGGGATTGAACTCAACTCCAAGTATGGGGACAAGTGGAAATGTGAGGGAGTGGGTGGAAAAGAGAATCTTGGTTAGATATCAAGGATGGGGGTGGGGAGAGAGGAATTTGATTAGATATCAAGGGTGGGAGAAGAGGAGTTTCAGAATCAAGGATTTGGGGGTGGGGGGTTCTTGGTAAACCGGCTTATCAGAATTCTTTGCTAAAATTGGGCTCAGTAGGCCATGGATGAGGTCTGGTCAAGAAGAGTGCTCAAAGTAGTCCGACTAAAACGCAGTCAAGGAAAGAATGAGTCCTTGTCATTAGGAGCCAAGTAATTGCCGGCCTTAAGTCATTTTAGGAACAAGATAAAATATATATATACAAATTAAATATTTTTAAATACAAATACATTGAAGGAACTATGCATTAAGGACGGGTTGAGATCTGACTGACTTCACCTAGTCCTATGAACACTGCATTCCAATCTGTGTCAAGTCCTGCGCCCCAGTATATGGCTTCATGGGTTTCTTTTCCTCACTTGGTCTTGGTCTTCCCCTCTTTCTAGTTCATTCTCTGACTCTAACCTTATCTCCTTGCAGTATCCTTCTGTTCACAGGAGCCAGGGAAAACTAATGGGAGTAGAGTCAGGGAAGAACTAGAACACAGTACTCAGATACCAGAGATGCCAGTTGAGGTGGTGAGAACAGCTAGTACCTTGATGACCATTTCTTTGTGCTCCACCTGCTTCGTGTCCATCACGCTGTGGGTGAAGCCAGTCTGCAGTGTCTTGGCAAAACTGGCAGAATTGCTACCAGTGACTTCTGCAAATAAAGTGATCATCGGGCATCAACTAGGTGCCCACAGACCAGAACTTCTCCCCTAATCCTAGCTAAACCACCAGCATTACTTAATGTCTTAAGCACAGAGATTTTTTTTTTCCTGTCACAGAAACTCTTGTTTTTAAATGTGAGAGTAGAATTCCACCTCAGTGAAGGTGTCGCTTCTCGTTTTGATTACCAATTGTGAAAATATTAGAGGAATCATTCTTTAATTTACTTTTCTACTTGTTTCAGGGAGACGGCTGGGTTTACCATAAACCCCTTTGGAAAATAATTCCAACAGCACAACCAGCAGAGTGATACACACTAAGACTCGACCAAATGAACTTCTTCTCTGTTTACCCTAAACCCTCCCAGAACGGAGTCATTGCACTGAGTGACCTGCTTCCTGATTGCACAGACTGAATCTAGCTAAACACGAATGTACCTATTAAGGCACCGTAGAACTGCAGCAAGACCAAAGTGTTGAAGAAGCACGATGGGCCTCTCACCAACCTGTTCATGTGACACGAGCAATATCATCTGAAAACCTTTCATGGGAATTATTAGATGATTAATCTTTTATCCAGTCCCTGCTCCTAAAGTTAAGTTTGAACCCCTGTTTTTGCATGGGGGCAGCAGATACACACAACAGTGAGAACTCAGTGATTTTGATTTCTTTACAGTGAAAAGTGAAGTCTGTTGCAGAGTTTGTGCTTTGCTTTCTGTCAGGAACTGAAGTATTCAAAGTATTCACTACTCTTACAAACAAACTAAGAGGAGGACGATGACCCAGAAGTGGATTCAGCCATTGTGCCTGAAATCAGTGTTAAAAAAAATCAACCAGGTTGTAGTAACAAGGCATTCTGTTCCTTCAAAGAGACTGTGTGCCTGTGTCTGAGGAGCTTCTCCATTATCCACCTCTGTTGGAACTCTCTTTTAAAAAGTATATTTATAAATTGATTAGAATTATAACCATGGAGAATTTTTTCTTCTGAGCATTTTAATATACTTGAAAACAACATTGACTTGAAAAATTTCAGAACATTTTTCAATACCTAGTTTTATTAAATACTACACTTGAGAGACAATTTTTTTAAATGTGTTCATGTTAATATGATGAGATTTTGGCCTTTCTCAAGAACTGAGGCATTAAAAAACTTAGCAGACATTAAAGAATAAAACTGTTACTTTTTTCCTTACCTTTTTTTCACTTGTAGGTTAATATCCAGTATTATGTGCTATCCCTCTGGATATGTATGCTTCATCTTACCTCTGTTCATTCAAATTTAAAACAACTATTCATATTTGTCAGTAATTCAGAAGTTATGTATGTGGCTGAGTGCATGTATGGTATGGTTCTCTTTTCAAGGAAACTCAGATGCTGAAAAAAGAATAAGAAAAAGTTATCAGGAAGTTGTATTCAGGTACAAATCTTTTTTTTAATAAGTATTTTATTGAGGTTGAAGAATTGCTGGCAATTAAAAGGATAGTGCTAATTATGGCTTTCATCATTCATTCAAGTATTTATTGAGCACCTACTTATGGTGCTCAACACTTGTTACTGCAAGCTACCTTAATTTTCCAAGAGTGGTGCCTTACTCTGTTTCTTCTGATGTGGTCTTCCAATCAGTGTGTGTAACATACCTGTTATTCATCAGCCATGTAGGTGGCTGTATCTCTTGCATCATCATAAGAAGTTTAAGCTTTGTGCTCTGATAAATTGTGTTTTATTGAAGGGGTTAATAGGATGAAAACAGCAAAACAATTTTTTCAAGAAACTGTAAATTATAAGAAAATAACTGGTTATGTACAACCATTTTAATGATTCCCTTGTTCATTTTTGCTGTGAAATGCACTGAAAAATCTCAAAATGAGTTATAGTTCATGTGTTGGGAAGATTGACAAATAATAAAACTAGAGAACAATAATGCCTTTGTCTGTTTTATGAATGGAGACAAATAGAAAGTTTATATTTAGTAGAGTTAGCACCTTGTTCATTTGAGAGGGATGTTGATTTTTCTCTTTACATTCTTATTTTCATGAATCTCCTAGGGAGAAAAAGAAGTAAATTCAGTAAGAGTTTTTAAAAACTAAAATGTTCAAATATACTGGAAATAGAGCAAGAATGTAAAATTAAACTAGTGATTTTTTGTTTCGTTCTTTGAACCAATTGAATACCCATTTATTTCTTTTGATTTGTTGAGCCATTTTAAAAATTATTGAAATACGATTTTAAAAATTCTTCAGGAAAACAATACACTTAGGAGTAATTGAAAACTCAAGATATTGGGTTGCTTCTTTGACGAGAGTGAAATAATACTACTTTTGGGTGATTACTTTACCTTGTCTCTGTCTTCTTGACTTCCCACTGCAGCTTATCTACTAGAGAAGCTAGAGGCCTTTTCTGTTTCATTTTTTTTATTCATACCTGTTGATAATTGGCCAGAGAAATGAGTCTTTGTAGCAGTTGCTCCTTATTTGTATCTTTTTCTTTTAGGTCAAAGTTTTAAAGGTGCACTTTTCTTCTGGTTATTAGGAATTATGTGTTAAGAAGTCCAAGACCAGAAGTGACAAAAAGACAAGGTTCTGGCCATGTATTTGGACTTCTTAACTGTTTTTTGTTGTTTTTGTTTTTGTTTTTGTTTTTACTGTGGTGATACCACCACCCTATACCTTCTGTCAAATATTTATATTTAAATTCCACAATCATATTCTAATTAATTGCATTTTTTAAATGTTTTATTTATTTATTCATGAGAGTCAGAGAGAGAGAGAGGCAGAGGGAGAAGCAGGCTCACCACAGAGCAGGGAGCCCGATGCGGGACTCGATCCCAGGACCCTGGGATCATGACCTGAGCCGAAGGCAGACGCTTAACCATCTGAGCCACCCAGGCGCCCTAATTAATTGCATTTTGAATAGACAGTTTTTAAGCCCCGAAAAGTAACTTTCAGATTGTCTACTGGGTGAGATATGGCATCTATGTATCAGTTCACTGTACTCTTCATTTGTGACCAACATCACCTCTAATGCCTACTTGTAACCAAAAATAAGATGAAAAAAGGTATTGAATTTCTCACTCCATAATCCTAGTACTAATACATTACTCTCAACTATAAATATCTGATACTTGATGAGCCAGCTTCTACAGATTAAGTCTTAAAGGATTTATTAATTAATTAGAAAAGCATGAAAATTTTTTTTTAAATATTGCCTTAAGATGAAGGCCAACTTCTATTCAGTGTTTTTCCCCAGAGAAAGACAAATTGTTTTGATCACTCCAGCATCTATACTTGAGAAGGATTCCTTAGAGCTGCTACAGTGACTGGAAGCAGAGTGATGATTCACCAGAGATAGTGGGAGAAGAGAAGATGAGTCTACCAGATGGGGATATAAAAGTTATATATATGAAAATGAAAATTCTAATAAAATATATATTCTAGTGGCATAAAATCCCTCCTTGGTCCAAAAACGAAGCTGCACAAGAAATTCTTACGTATTACAAAGCATTTTCCTATGTTTTCACTATTTGATATTCACAGAAACACTGAGATTACAGTCAGGGATGGCTGTGCCAACTTTGCAGATGAGGAAATTATTGAAAGTTCAGTGTTCCGGACGCCTGGATGGCTCAGTCAGTTAAGCGTCTGCCTTCAGCTCAGGTCATGATCCCAGGACCAGTGTCCTGGGATTGAGTACCCCATCGGTCTTCTTGCTCAGTGGGGAGGCTGCTTCTCCCTCTGCCGTTCCCCCTGCTTGTGCTCTCTCTCTCTCTGACAAAATCTAAAAAAGAAAAAGTTTGTGCTCACTTCAGTTCACTTAGCTAGACCTTCAACAAACATCTGTTAAGTATTCCTTTGGGGCCGGATAGTACATTGGATTCCAACATGATAAATAATGTCCCTACCCTTACAGACTTAGATGAAGGAAGAAACCAAAACCTAAATTCCCAGGAATAGGTTGTTGACATGGACAAGGCTAACCGGTCTTTCCAAACCCCAGAAAGGCACCATGGTACCTAGGTACTTTGGAAGGCAGTTGATCAATGAATTGAAAATGAAGGGGGGTGGGGGGGATGCATCTGGCTGGCTCAGTCGATAGAACATGTGACTTGATCTTGGGGGTCATGAGTTCGAGCCCCCCATTATATGTAGAGCTTACTTTAAAAAATAATAAAAAAAATTTTAAAGCAAGGGGTTTGGCTCAAAGTCTACCTAAGAAGCCCCAAACAATGCAACTAGGTGATTAACCCTTGTTCCACCCTATAAGACTGGAGAGATTGAACCAGAGAGATTTCCAGTTCAGGAATACAAGTTGATAAACTGAAAATGAGGAACAAGTTGAAGTCTATATATTTTTTTTCAAAGATTTTATTTATTTATCTGAGAGAGAATGAGATAGAGAGAGAGCACGAGAGGGAAGAGGGTCAGAGGGAGAAGCAGACTCCCTGCTGAGCAGGGAACCCGATGCGGGACTCAATCCCGGGACTCCAGGATCATGACCTGAGCCGAAGGCAGTCGCTTAACCAACTGAGCCACCCAGGCGCCCTGAAGTCTATATATTTAAGGATGAGAACATAAAGCCCCTTCCCCTGTCCCTTTCCCAAAATATTGGCAGTCAGGCTTGTACCTTCAGGCAAGAGATTAAAATATCCTTTTTGGGAGCACAACTCCAGAAGAAAGTCCTACAGATATATTTGGAGGGTCCACCAACAAAAAAATTCTCAGCCGACAACCCTGTTAATTAAAGCCAAGTCAGCAACTCCTACAGCCATAACCCTCCACCCCTTCCCCAAGAAACTACACACATCCATCCTCCCACCAACACATTGTATATATAGACAATTACATCTCATTTTAACAGCTAATGATCAGCAGACATTTGAGGAAAGATTCCAATGTGAATAAAAAAGATCAAACAGGAAAAAAAAATTGAGGAAACAATTTGGGAAATAACTTCAGAAAAAAATCTTCAGACCAGAGCAGATGATCTTACTTCTATGAAACATGAGCAAATTGCTATCTTTTTTAAAAAAAATATTTTATTTTATTTACTTTTATTTAAAGTAGGCTCCACACCCAGCGTGGAGCCCAGTGCAGGGCTTGAACTTACAACCAGATCAAGGCCTGAGCTGAGATCAAGAATTGGATGCTTAACCACTGAGCCACCCAGGCACCCCTCAAAATACTATCTTTAAAATGGACTGTTCAGGAAATAAGAACAGGTCTTGGAAATTAAAAATATGATAGTTCAAATTAATCACCCAATAGAAGTTCTAGAAGATAAGTAAGAAAAAGCTCTGACAAATAGAACAAAAGGACAAAAGATGAACAATAGAAGGGAAATATGAAAATTAGAAGAACAATACAGGAAATCTAACAGCTAGTGACTAGGATTCAAAGAATTAAAAAGCAATGGAAGGAAAAATAGTGAAAAATGCATCCATATATATGTAGAAGAGTTTCCCAGAACTGGATAACATGAATCCAAATGAAAATGCCATGAATATCTTACACAGTAAGGGAAAAATAAAAGCCCAGGGGCGTCTGATTGACTCAGTTGGTAGAGCAGGCGACTCTTGATCTCAAGTTTGTGAGTTCAAGCCCCATGTTGGGCATGGAGCCTACTGGGGGGAAAAAAAGGCCCAAACCAAAGCGCATCAGTATGGAATTTCTTAACACTAAGGATAAAGAGAAGATTCTAAAAACAATAGCATCAGCCTTCTCAACATCATTGAAAGCTAAAAAGCAAAAGGGAAATACCTCCAATTTTGCCTAGAATTTTATCCCCAGCCAAAAGATGAATCTGACATGCAATTTTAAAACAATTTTGTCCTAGTTGTGCCTTTTCTGGAAGCTATTAAAAGCACATACTCCAGCAACACATCAGAGAAGAGAGAAAAGCAGGAATTGGAAAAGATAAGAAATCAAGAAAAACAGCCTCCAACAGAGGAAAGAGTCAAAGAGAGGCATCCACTCTACAATATCTGGGTGGTCTCCCAGGAACTAGCTCCTCCAACACCTATTTTATCTGTGGACAACACTGACTTTAGCAAGTCCTTTGTACCAAAATCTGTCCCCATTCTAATGGAGTTCCTATAAGATGAGAATGTTTTTCCTTGCATATAGCAATACTAAATATCTCTGAATATCAGTTCTCCCAATTGTCCTATTCTGAGGTTACTCAGCTGTGCTTCCTATGGTGGGTCTCCATCTTATGATCAGTTTCCTGAGAATATACCATGTATCAGTGTTCCGTGGACTACTCAGAAAGGGCCAGAATATTGCAAGTGGAGTCTTATTTTAGAAACTATATGCCTTTTTTTTAACAGCCTTGTTATTGTGCAATGGACTTAAACTACACATTTTTAAGTATACGATTTTATAAGTTTTGATATGTGTGTAGTCCCATGAAACATCACCACTATCATGATAATGAGAATATTTATCATTTTCAAGAGTCTGCTCTTGCCTGTTTGTAATCTCCCCTTCCCACCTTCCCCTCTCCACTCCTGTCCCATACCCAGGGAATATTGGTGTCCCAAGGCTGCCATAATAATTACATAAACCGATGACTTAAAACAACAGAAGTTTATTCTCTCACAGTTCTGGGGGCCAGAAGTCTGAAATCGAGGTGTCAGCGTGGTCATGCTCTCTAGAGGCTCTAGGGGATAATCCACGCTTTGCTTCTTCCAGCTTCTGGGATCTTTTGGCATTCTTTGATTTGTGGCCAGTTACTCCAATCTCTGCCTCTGTGATCACATTTCGTCCTCTTCTCAGGGTCTGCCTCTCTTCTGTCTCAAATCTTCCTCTGCCTTCCTCTTATGAGGACACTTGACTTAAATTTAAATCCCACCTGGACAATCCAGAATGATCTCCTCATCTCAAGATTCTTAATTATATCTGCAAAGACCCTTTTTCCAAG